CCAACAGGTTTAAAAAAAACAAAAAAACACGTCAAATAGTGTTAGAATTCATATTATTGGCGGAAATGATTATATTTAAAAGTGTTAGAATTCATATTATTGGTGGAAATGATTATATTTAAAAGTGTTAGAATTCATATTATTGGCGGAAATGATTATATTTAAAAGTGTTAGAATACATATTATTGGCTGAAATGATTATATTTAAAAGTGTTAGAATTCATATTATTGGCGGAAATTATTATATTTAAAAGTGTTAGAATTCATATTATTGGCGGAAATGATTATATTTAGAAGTGTTAGAATTCATATTATTGGCGGAAATGATTATATTTAAAAGTGTTAGAATTCATATTATTGGCGGAAATTATTATATTTAAGTGTTTGTTCGTATTAATTTCATATTCATAGAATGCTTGAAAACAGTATGTCTTTCTTTTCAGTATTAGTACATTTAAGCATTTGACATGTATTGTTACATGAAAAGCAAAATAAATAGCTAAAATATATCGGCCCTCTGTTCAGGTAATACCCGGATAACGCCGGGTAAGGACGGCTAGTGTGTATAAACAAGTGTTTGTTCGTTCTATTGTAAATCACAAAGTTACACAAGAAACCAGCTATCTGTGTTCTCCCAACGCGACTATGGAAACTCAAATTTTAGCGTTATAAGCCCTTAGTGTCTCTTTGGACATTGAACAGATATATACCTCGTGAAAACTAACGATTGTGAGGGAGATGGATGAATGGATATATTTACGTGTAAAAAACGAACGCGACAGTGGCGGGTGACTTCAGGGGGACAAAAATCAATGTTATGTAGTGGTCTACAAGATTAGTAAATGTTCAGGTATTACTGAATGTTTTTCTGAAGGTAGTAAATAACCAAACCTTGCTACGAGAGCGTTCCCACTCCATTACACCACCTCTAGCAGTAACCTATGCTGAGTGATGAGAGGATAACAGTTGTACAGTAAATAGTAGAATATCTAATGACGTCGTAACCTGAGTTTGTTGTTTACCTGATTCATGGGATTTTACACTACAATCATATGTAATTAGTTCTTTTTTGGGTCTCGTGAAACTGTAAACAATAATGAAACTTTTTTTTAGGCTAAGATCTGGGAAGTCCTGTAATGTATTGAATCTTTCATATTCCCTTGAAACGTAAATAGTAGTGTATACTTCTTCTATCATAGACCTGTATAAACATTCACAGATGTATGGAGAAACACAAAGAATAGCTCGTAAAAACATGACCAGTCACGACAAACAGAAAATAACCAACAAGGAGAACATGACCAGTCACGACAAACAAAAAGAACCAGCAAGGAAAACATGACCAGTCACGGCAAACAAAAATAACCAACAAGGAAAACATGACTAGTCACGACAAACGAAAAGAACCAACAAGTAAAAACATGACCAGTCACGACAAACAGAAATAACAACAAGGAAAACATGACTAGTCACGACAAACAGAAATAACCAACAAGGAAAACATGACTAGTCACGACAAACAGAAATAATCAACAATTAAAAACATGACCAGTCACGACAAACAAAAAGAACCAGCAAGGAAAACATGACCAGTCACGGCAAACAAAAATAATCAATAAGTGAAAACATGACCAGTCACGACAAACGAAAATAACCAACAAGTAAAAACATAACCAGTCACGACAAACAGAAATAACCAACAAGGAAAACATGACTAGTCACGACAAACAGGAATAATCAGCAAACAATTACCAGCGATAGTGAGTTTTGTTTATTTAATAAATAAATCAATAACAAACTGAAGTGTTGTTGAACAAAAGCTTAAGAATTGATTCTTAGTGTAGAGTTTAACGAACTTCGACGAATGGTGAGAATATATGACAACTTGGAGAAGACTTTTCAAATTCCTAGCTTTAATATTCACGAAATAATTAATTAATATTTTCAGACTATTCCAGACTACTCAGTTCCTTCAGTCTGAATTTTATTTTAAATAACACGTGAAATATCGTCAAGGGCCTTCTTTTGTCCAGACTAGTCAGTTCCTCCAGTCTGAATTTTATTTTTAATAACACGTGAAATATCATCAAGAGCATTTTGTTGACCAGACTACTCAGTTCCTCCAGTCTGAATTTTATTTTAAATAACACGTGAAATATCATCAAGAGCATTTTGTTGACCAGACTAGTCAGTTCCTCCAGTCTGAATTTTATTTTTAATAACACGTGAAATATCATCAAGAGCATTTTGTTGTCCAGACTACT